AGTACTATGAGCCTTGCTGCTTACTGTCCAGCATAGGCATCACAGAGGATTCAACTACCCTCTGTTCATTCAAAGGTGAGAGAGGCAGTCTCTAGCATGGAGATCTGGAGATCAGCCTGTTTTATCTGCTGTAGGAGGATGGTGGTGGTAGTGCAGGAAATAAATTCCATCACGAGGGCTCTGATGCTGAGAGAGGCTGTGTGCCCAGGCATCTCCAAAACCGTGAATGAAGGCTTGCAACTAGGTGCAAGCAGCACTGTTCAGAAAAGCCTCTTGGGACTGAGTCTCCCTCCACACCATGCTTCTGGCCTATAGACATTGGTCACTCAATGAAATGGTGTCCTTGCTGTCTATTCACTTTGCACTTATCTAGTTCATACCCGCTTCTAAATTGCTCACACACAATTTAAAAATATTTCTCTTTCTCTTCACTTTTCTTTTCCATAGCCGTAGTTACCTGTACTCACTGTGGTTGGAAAATACTAAATTGAAAAATACCTGAAAATGTTCATGAGTTTAAATGTACTGTTCTGAGTGGTATAGTGAATCCCTGTGTCATCTCCCTCAGTTCAACACAGGATATGAATTCTCTCCTTTTCTAGCATGTCTGTACTGCACGTACTACCCTTCCATTAGTTACTTAAAAGTCACCATGATTCTCAAGTCACTGTCAAAGTACATATTTCTTGTTTGTACAGTTCTTTTACAGAAGCCCAGCAATGCACCACATATTACAATGGCTATGTTGGTACCTTCTTTCCTTTCATCAGGTAGGCATCGCATCGTCTTACATCATCACTAGCAGAAAGATGAAGACAGCACAGGAAGATATTGTAGGAGAAATGGGTCTCCTTCACACAACCTACTATCACACAACCTACTACATTGTCATTGGTACATGTTTTTGTGCCTATTCATGTGATTGCTAATCTCTGCAAATTATACCTTATTGTAGGTGCACATGCACAAGTAAACATCATATGCAGGATCAATGCATCCAAGGTTTTTGGTATCCACTGGGGGGCTTGGAACATATCCACAGAGCTTGAACATTCAGGAGACATAGAAATAAAGACAGTACTGTTTTCCCACTGGATCTGAGATGGCAGTGCTTTAAAAATCCCTGAGAACAGGGTCCTCTTGTACTCTGATCCCCTTTTCCTTCGGAAAGTCTGCAGTAGTCTGGTTGTCTGACATCAATGCCCAAGTCCTCTCTGCTCATAGGGCTCTCATAACTGAGGTGCTCCAGCCCTCTCCCACTATGCTTCAGAGGAGCTGATGTCATCCTAGTCCGCAGAGTGGAGGCTACAGGCTGAGATCCTATAGCAGACTGTGTTCCCCTATATAGCCATGTGGTCTGACTAGCTCCTGTTCCAAGATATCAGAATCAGTCTGAAGACAATTCTTAATTTAATCATCAGCTATGTTTCCTTGTTCACAAAACATGCATAAGGAAACACTTTGCTTCTGAGAGGTGGTCTGTAACCAGGAAGGTAATTACTCAACAAATACATCCAAGTCTGAAGCTTAGCAGGTGGAGTTACCGAGGCCACCTTTTCTTCTCACTGTTGACAGCAATATAAGTTCTGTTACTTGCAACCAATTGAAGCCTATTAGGCAGACATTTTACACTTGCTCTGTGTTATTATGAAAAAGATATTTTATTTCCTTTTTAATTGCTAACCCAATACTGATGGTATAAACAAAACTTTAGAGGAAATGATGTGGAAAACACAAAAATAATTCATACTTCAGAATAATATTCACAAAGCAATGGACATATATTTTAATAAAATATTTTGTATATATATGTCAAAGCAGTTTGAAAAGCTATCTAATCTACTATAATCTTGGCATCTGCATGTGAATTTGGGAGGCAGTGATGGATCAAATAGACCCATGGAAAAAGTTAGATATTTTTGACTGACACTGAGACTTTAATAATTTTGGATATGTGTGATGTAGATATTATTTAAAACATTATGGCATAGAACAATGCAGGTTGAAGAGACTTTTCAGTGAGAAGCACTAACTTTGTTCTGACATCTTAGGGTTTTTCTGCACAATGCTTTGGCCACATGGGCAGTAAATGCATCCTGAGTTTGAGGTAGAGTCCATGAGGCACAAAAGGTTCAGAGTTTTAAATCTGGGTGAAGTAAATGGCTGTAGTTTTAATAACATTGGTTCTTCTTCCCAGGGGCAGCTGTTAGCCTCATCTTCCTGCATGTTTTAGCTAATGGATTAACTCTAGAGAAAGATGTCTGAATGCTGCCTGAACCTGAATGATGTCTGAACCTGGAATTGGAGCAAGATCCAATAAGTCAGTAAACACAAAACCAGTAAAACAAGACAAAGTTGAGATAGGAGATGGATGAAACAAATATGGCATTGCTAACCAATGAAGAAGGTTGCTATTTATTGTACCTGGAATATGCTAGTCATGAGGTGCTTTCCTATGGTTTCATTCTGTCTCCTGGGAGGTTACACGTCATATTAGAACAGGACATGTAGCAACTATAATGTAATTTATAGGTGGTCTTGGAAAAGCCATAGAGTTCCTATGTGCTCATGAGAAGAAACAGAAAATAAATCAACAGTTGCCCACTCACACATTTAAAAGTCTGTGGTGTGTAGGAAAGTATGCATGGACAGCAGTGTAACTTCTAGGACAGCTCTTCAATGTGTCTATGTTAAAATCCTCCATCTTTAGGAATCAGGTTGCAGTGTGGAGAACTACTTTGAACAAGTCACAGAAGGAGGAAGTGGAAGTCCAGGACTGATCTTGTCTGAAAATCAGAAAGGCATTCTCTCTTCTGTCTACCTGTTTCTCCATGGGGACCACAGAAATGCATGGACTGTGAGTCACTTCCTGGGTAGAGCCTTGGAAATGGCTGCAGGGACATTTCTAGTCTCTAGAAGGAAGTATCAAATAAGAATGGAGCCTTCAGACTCTTCAGAGTTTCTAGGACACACTTACTCCTCCCCTATCAATCATGAAAGACCTATACAAGATCAGTACTGGATGCTGGTAGTATTTTCTTCAGAATCTGCCTCCTCTCTTCCTCCCTTACTTTCAATACTATCCCTCCCTCCCTGTCTCTTTCTCTCCTCCCCCACTCATTCCCTCCTCCATCCTTCTCCCTCTCTCCCTCCCTCCCCCTCCCTGTTTCTTTCTCTCTCCTATCTTTCCCTTCTCCCTCTCCCTCCCTGTCTTTTCCTCTCTCCTCTTTCTCGTTCTCTGTCCCCCTCTTGCCCTCCCTTCCCCCTCTCTTCCTTCCCCCTTTCTCCACTCTTTCTATCTCCTTCCCATTCTCTCTCCATTCCTCCCCCCTCTGTCTCCCTCCCTCCCTCTGTTCCCCCAGGTTCACCAGCTCACACCTTGATTCTCTGACCTGTCCTATAAGGAAGGACTGTTCTGCTCTCTCTCTCTTGTCTGAACACTGTCATCTTGTGGAGAATAGATGTTGTGACTATTACGGCTCCAGTTCCTTGGAGGCCTCTACTCTCTTTTAGAAAATGACAGTTCTAAACATAAAGAAGGACTTACTGACCTTTGTGGGAAGATGTCCTCCTTTCTATCAGCACTGCAGACACACTTATCTGACTGAATCACTGTGCCCACCTTGGGAAGACTGGCTACCAGCTTCAGTCTAACACTAAGCTCTATGACTGAGCTTCCTCTTTCTCTCAAGACAACTCCTGGTTGTCTGTCACTTGTCTTTCAGGGAGACTGTATTTACCTGACTAGGTTGTCTCAGGTTCCTGACCCAAGCTCTGTAGAACAGTAGCCATGTTAACCAGATGGGTACTATCCTGTGTCTCCGGCTCTCATGTTAGAAACAGAACGTATGTTGCAGTCCTCACAGCAAAAATAGTGCCAAAGTCCCCTCCCTATAAGAGGCATCACAAAGTTGACTTCTGGTGGTATGGACTACCTGTGTAGCAGATTTCTAGGTGGCTACAAGTTATCACATCCAGTAAGTGCTTGAGTGAGGGGAGCCAATGTTGTGGGGTTTCCTTTCAAGGTCATATCCTGCAAAAAGTGACCTGGTGTCTCAGCTCCAAGATCCTAATGAGGATCAAAGAGCATGATACACCGTATCATGCATAGTGGCTAGCTCAGGGGAAGATCTCAGGGGCTGGGTGGAGCCAACATTCATTTTCTGTGGACATCTGGGTGTTTGGGCATTTAGTGTTCTTACAGACTGCATGTGAATCCTCAGGGGTGATCAGGTCCCAGTGACTGCTCAGCCCATCACAAAGCCCATGCATATGTTGGCAGCCAAGCGACAGAATCTTTCTATACTGGAAATGAAGCAACTGTCTTCAGTTTCTATGTGCACACTCTTAGAGTTATCATCACCAGGCTGGTCATGAGCCCAGACTCTTGGCAAGGAGACAGACCTTTTCTGATGCATTGCTTCATTTATTTTCTGTCATTCTTCTCTCCAGCAGGACATGTCCTGCAAAGAGGCCCACGTTTACGATAACAGAAACTACAATACATCCTTCCTTATCCGCTCAGTGGATACACATTTGAATTTGCGGATGATTTATTTCCTGTCTTTGAGAACAGAGAAGCAATTCAGATGCATCACTGTATCATATTCTCCCTTGGACTTTTAAGTCTGAGAGGAAAGGCCATTAAGTGTCTTAAAATATTGGGCACCCAAGTGATTCAGAGCCATCTGTGAGCTTCTTGGTAGCTTGCAAACTCCTCCTACTGCGGCAGGATAGTCCCACAGTAGAAGGAGATTTGGCTCTCTCCTCACAATAAATATGAATGCACACATGAACTAGAGGCAGACAGCCCAGCTTATTAATGAAAGCCCTGCTCATCATGGAAGCCTGCTTTGACATGGTGACTTGGATGAAAAAATGCTCACCTCTCACGATTCACATTCCTGAAATAAACCTTCATTTATACTCCATCCCCCTAGGCATCAAATATTGTCTAAAATCTGATTGTGAGAAAAGTATGAACCCCATAACATACTCACCCCAGTTCTCTGAACTTCCAGGAAAGTTGCTCTTTGGAATGACTTCTCCCACACGGCCAACTCACTACCCAGCTCCACGCTGAAGTTGTGGCTCTTCCCGTGGCTGGCCAGGACACTAAAGCAGTATGGCCTGGGATCTTCACAGTCAAAATCTTGGAGACCCAGATAAAAGTTTGCCTGCAGCCAGTAGTTGTCTGAAAGCCAGAACTGAAAAATAGTATGGATTGGAGATGGGTCAGGATTGGAAGGTTGAACCCAGACTACAGAACCCAGCTCACCATTTGGGAAGAGGGTTGTATTTGCCTGGTATGATGGAGGTCATCACTTCCTCACAACCACCAAATGGGATGAGTGCTTTAGCAACATTTTCAGAACAACAGCTGAAGCAAACAAAAAGAAGGAATGCAATATATATAGCCTGGTAATCCACCAGACTCACCAGACAACTGGCAGCCATATCTTCCATATGCCTTCCTGATGCATTTGTCTAGGAGCAGCAACACCCTCTGGTGATTTCCTCCCATCAAGGTTAGCTACAGGGACCTGGATGCCACCAGTTGCTATCACTTCCAGATGAAGGGTATAGAAGCAGGCAACAGGCAACACTGAGAGAAAACTTCTATAATGGGCTCCTGCTCTTACACACTATAGAAATAACCCACAAAGACATTGTACATAAGCTATGCCCAGACTCTGATTATAGGAAACTAGCCTTTCCTCCTAAGAGACTGACAACTCCTATATTTTATATTTTACTTTTAAAGTTAATAACTTTGAGACTCAACCCAACAAACTGAGAAAAGCCCACTGAGGCTTTTTGGTATACATTGATTCCCCAGAGGGCCTGGGTTCAGTATTTCTAAGAGGAGTTCAGGCCCAGGGCTACAAGATGGCGGCTGCTGTTGTAACTCCTGAGTTTGGAGGTGAATTGTTATCCAATGATGGGTTTCTAGCTCAGGGACAAAGTGTGCTCCTGTTTTTTCTCTTTTTTCAACCACAAATTGTGGTGAAGGAGTTCATAACTGAATGAATAAACTTTAACTGGAGCAGGGCAAAGGGAAAGACAACAGTAGTATAAATGAAGACCACTATCATTCTCATCAATAGATTCATCACAGCAACTATGTATTTAAACGGTCTTGCTAACAGTGCTAAGATGAAAGGAAACTCTGATCACCGAGATATATCTAGCTTGGTATCTAATAACTCTACATAATTGGTATAATAAAATGTAGCTTATTTAAAAGACTTATTTCAGAACAGACTATGAAACACTGAGCAGTAATTCTCAGATCTAGGCACATAGCAACATTCCCAGGGACCTTTATGTAAAGAGAGCACAGATGTGTGAGTCACATCTCACAGCATGTAAAATTAGATCCGTTGCCTTGGGTGAAGCTCCCTCCAGATGACCACAACACAGAGACGGTTGTGAATCCCTCCAGTGCACTGCCCTGGCCTTAAAGAGCTGGAAATTATAGTTCATGTCACAGGAGACCTGAAGGATATGGTGTCGGCATACCTAGCAAGCGTCTTAGGGGCCTGCCACCATCATGGCAGCTCTTGGTTGACAGAGTCAGGAGGGTTAATCTAGACTGAATTTGAGACAAGTCTGTGCTGCATAAGACTCTGGTTTAAAAAAACAAAAGATTAATAAAACAAAAGATAAAACAAAACTTCTAACAAGAGAATTCCCTCTGAAACTGAGACCCTGAATCTCAGTGAAATCCTGTGTCCCTCAATGAGAATATTACTCTTCCCACTCTGTCATCTGAGGGGCATCTTCTCTCTATGAAGCATCCGAATGGCAAGGATACCCACCTTGTGAACTTTAAACAGCACCTCACAGAGGTTATAGGCACGTTCTGCTCGTCCCCAATCCAGTGTGCTTACCTGTGGGAGACAGAAAGACACATTTGTGTAGGAAGAGGAAGCCTTTCAGATTAGAGTTGCAGTACTTACATCATGGAGTGATTATGCATGTCTCAACATAGTGCTACATTTCCCTTGCTCTGGGTGACAATGAACTTTATAGTCTGGTTTGGATTCTGATGTTGTATCCTTCCCTAGTGTGCAACGGGGATACAAAGGATACTTTATTGAGACATACACTGGTAATATGAGAACTTTATACTCCTGGGGATAATTTTAGGGATCTATTTTTGTATTACCTGTCAATTAAATTTTAGTTTAAATGTAGAAAATGTAAGAAGAGTATGCACATGAGATAGTGTGGCAATCAAGCAGACATACTGTTGACCAGCTGTCTGTTATTCAGAACTAAATTCTCTAGACATTTCTGCTTCAGAAATAAGTGGAAAAATACCTAATCAATTTACTTGAATATGTTTTTTGATGGTTGGACACATCATAGCTCATAACTATTCATTTTTGAGTGATGTGTTGTGATTTATAATTTACATTCACATATATGATCTCAGAGTTAAAATGTTTCTGGCAAAAAGTATATAATTCTCAGCAGTGTGAGAGATTTGGGTTTCTTCTGCTGGCCATGCACTTAGCCTTACAGCCAATAAAACCTAAACAGTGGTTTCCTGTGATGTGTTTGAAGCACTGAATCCACATGTATTTAATCAGCTGGTGGCTTCTTGGCAATTATTCCCCCACACAAAATGCTGCCAAGGTACTCAGATACAAAGCCACTGAAGCCAGAGCACTAGCCAACAGTGAATTTGACACTCAAACAACATTGATGTGCTACCATTTAACCTGTCATTGCTCCAGAGCCAGCTGCTACTGAAACTGAACAACAACAACAACAAATCACTGGAAATGTACACCCTAATAGAAAGCAAGTAGGATAAACGTGCTGCTAACATGAAGCTTGGTTTTGGGTCAACACTCAGGCCAGGCATGGCTTCTGGGACCAGAAGAGGTGGTTGGTCTTTGCTGTATCATTGTAGCCCCCCACCGCCCACAGGCCAAAGTGCTCAAAATCTCCCAAGACTGCATCATCCTAACTCAAAGACAATGCACACCAAAACGGGAGCTGCTCTGGTCCTCCTGACCTATATGTAGTACCACTCACCAGGGTAAGGGAGATGCAGATGCCTCTTGGGGTACAGTCCCGGAGGCCTTGTTTTGTTGATATTACTAGACAAAAATAAATCATACATGGGCAGGCACCATGCTCAGCTTTCCCATTAGAAAAGTGCTGATTATTTTGAGAAAATTAAAACACACACACACACACACGACTAAACACGTTATTTGGAGACATGTTCCCTTAATAGCTGATGTGATGTTTAAATATGCATTATAAGAATATTATATATTCTTAATTTTTCCTTTTCAAAACATAGTTTGTGAAATTAAGTATTTCCCATGTCATTATTATTTTTTCAGAAATAAAATTTAAATGGTAGCTTAAAATTTCAGTGTGTAGATTCATCATTTTGTAAGCCTGAACTTTTATGGTGAACATGTTAGATTCTGGTTATATATTTTAATCATTCTAACAGTGCCCAGATTATCATACTCAGGATATTATGTTTTGAAATCCTGCTGTATCAAATGCATCTTCCTTATTAACTTGTTATCAGTATATGTCAGAGTAGCCTGCTTTCTGAGCTGTGTTCTAAGGTAAGGGTGGGAGGAGGTGGTGCCTCCTATTATTTGCAAACTCCAGGCCCTACTCTGCTCTATTCAGGGTATTTTCTGGGTGCCTAATCTCCTTCTTAGTCTTCCTACCAGCAGGTTATGGCTATCCCATGAGGATAACCCCATCTCCACTCTAGACCCTGAGTTGCTGAAATGGACTGAGGCTCTCAGCTTGTGTTGTGCATAAATCATGTCCTGCTCTTTATCACCTCAAACATTGTGATAGATTCAGGGAAGAGAACTCCACAGAGATAGAGATGAGGTAGAAGGGCTGAGATTTCTGGGAACAGACATTTTATCATTGGACTTAGGGCAAATGCATTGCTGGAAGTCACAATAGGCCTCAAAGTCTTTGGTTACTGATAATGTCTCTGCTGTAGCAATATGTCATACAGAGGCAAAGTGGCCTGAATGGGTTGGAGCAGGGAGGGGTCAGGAGGGGGGTGTGGCTCCCCTTCTATTGTCTGCTTTTTCTGTTAACCAAAAACTCTCTAAAATCAGACTGTTTAAAAAACAGGTCTCGCATTATTTAATTTTGTTCCTCCACGTGGTTCACATTGAATTGAATTGCAGTGTTGGGAGACTAAAGGAGGTGCCTCACCTCTCCCCTACTGCTCTTTTTTCAATTGCCTGGTTTGTTTCATTTTGTACTGTTCCATACTAAAATGGAGCTCTTTTCAAAAGACTAAACAAACAAAAACAAAAACACCCAGGTCTCTCTCTTCATTCCTTTTCCCCAGGATTCCTGCTCTCTCTTCTTACAGGCTTAGCTGAGACCAAGGCCAGAAGTTTTTCTTCATATCCAGAGAAAAGACACAGTAGCCAGGCACATGAGCCTGCCATATACTGCATCCCTGTAGGCTTCTGCAACACCCAGTTCACCCTGGTCTGCAACCCAGCAGGCCCTGGGAGACAGGGCACAGGCAACATCCTCAGAGAGGAGCATGTGTGCTCAGCAAAGTCCCAACGTGAGACAGAGCTAGTATTCAGACTTGATAGGCTGTGGCCAGCCTGGTTCTAGCCTGCACAGCAGCCCCCTCCCCATGTGATTGTGGGGTAGACACCTGTAATCCAGTAGAAAGGCAAACTGGAGGAGTCTGAATTTCTCCTTGCAGAAAATTACCAGCAAATTATTTGTCACATTCTGGGCAGCTCTTTTTACTTTCTATTAGTTATAGCTCTTAAACCTGGCTGTGGATTCTGAATCTGAATATAACAACCTTTCAAGTGGTTATCCTGATATCCACATTGCTTGAGTAGGAAACAGTTGACATGAACAGCCATTTGACATATATTCACATATTCTAAACAGATGCAAAGTTCAGAATCTCAGGTCCACCTGGTCAATAATATGTTGACTAGAGTGAAGTTCTACTGAGATCTACAAATCCCTGCCTTAGCACTCAGGGTTGAAACCTGGGTAAGGGTACTTCACCTACCAAGCTCTCCAACACAGAGGTCCTTGGCCCCACTGTGTTTCAGATGCAGCTCAGTGACCTCGGTTTTAATTTCTGAGTGACAGTGGTGTATCAGAAAGGACTCTCCAGTAGGGCAAATGAGGTGGCCACCTCAGCTTCTGCTGACACTTGTGAACAATTGGGTCTCAGGTAACCCCAGGCTTGAGTATCCACCCACACTTGTGAGAAGCTGCAAGGCTACACTGTTCTCCCTGTCTGGTGGCAAGCTTTTGAGATAGAAAGAGAGAAAGACTGGGGGATCTTGGATAGAAAACACTGCATTTACACCACAGGCATGTGTAAGAGGAGTTCTTAATTGGTCTAGGTAATAAAAAGCTGGAGTCAGCTATGAAGGGAAATGCTGAGAGATCAGAGAGAAGGAGCAAGCACAGCACATCTTACCTCTTACTTGTCTCAGCAGAAAAAAGAGTGATTTCCTGTTTTTCCCTGCTTATATCCTGTTTCTGCCCAGCTACATCACTTCCTGTCTAGCTGTACAGACCTCCAGACCTCTATGGTTAGCTAATGGCAAGCTCCATTCTCTGACTCCCAGCCAGGCTTTACTTGTGCAAGACAGATAACACTACAGGCATGCATTTAATTATTGCTACCCTTAAAAAAGAAAAAAAAAAAAAAAAAAAAAAACGAGTTCCTGATTTTGTAAACCAGGTTTTCTGTGATATCATTTGCTCAAGTGAAAGGGTCCGTCTCTGTTATATTTTCATGACGCTCCTCTCAGGTAAGGGTTAAGACCTCAAAGAGAGAGAGAAGGGGCACTCAACACAGCACTCTGAGCTATCATCTAGCTAGCTTCTCCAGAAAGTAGCTTCTCGTGTCAATCACTGGCCCTGATAGTAACTCCACTGGGTGTTGTAGAATCAACACAGGCTGAGACTAGACCAACTGATTCCAGACCTCCTCAAGGTGCATTCCAAAGAGCACAATAGCAAGGCATTCACGTGAGAAGAGGCCAACAATTTTAAATCAAATGTCTTTGCTCCTCCAAACAAAGGCACTTGATGGCTTTCTGACCTGTCTGGCCTTATGCAGCTTTTGGTAAAGCAGTATCTTTGGCTGTAAGATAATACTATGTTGGTATCTCTTAAGGTTACCATGGGATACACGTTATATCAGGATGATGTGGCAATTCTACATTGTACACATTCTTGCCTGCCCTTTGCAAACTTTACTTAATTCAGTTCCTTCTGGATGAACTTTTACAGATGATAGGATATATCTGCCTAATTGACATTCTTAAATTTACTGCTAATATTTCTTGTGGGTACAAGGGCCTTTGTTACATAATGTTTACACTAATGCTACATGATGCTGTTAAAATGATTTCACAACCTTACTTTTTTTAACACATTTTAATGGTGTTTGAAAACATGAGTAGCTGAAGCATCACCATTTGGATTCTCATTTGCAAGTTAGAAATAAATATTCTATCAATGAAGGCAGGCAGAGTGAAAAGAGGGGCTGAGAGTCTCAACCTTCCATCTCTATCCTTTCAGGATCTCTGAGGGCTTTGGAGCTACAGGGTGGGGAATAGATGGTGGTAAGGTTCCTTTCATACCAGAGTCTGCTTCTTCTTCAGCAGGACACCTCAGTTCAAAAGATGCTGACCCTGTATCTTCCTGCCCCTCTTCCCCCAATCCCTGAAGGAACTCAGAAACAAACTGTCCTTGATTGAAGGTTATTATTATTTTAGCTCTTTCTAAATTTCCCATAGTAAGAATCTTTAGGTCCTTCTAGATTCTGTTTCAAAATTCTGACAAGACATGTTGAGAACTATAGCCTGTGAACATTTTGACTTTTCTTCATTGTCAAGCTTTTATAAATGCCTACACTTGGCCCTTGGGATGAAGGCTGGTTGCCCTGTAACCACTTCAGAGAAGGTAATGACAATCATTCAGGAACATTTGCAGAGTTTCTTCTCCCCAGAAGTTACTTGTGTAGCTTTAGATTCCTGGAACAGGAGACTCCACCTCTGTCCTCTAGAGAGGACACGGTGACTTTACTGAGAAGAAGTCTGTCCTATGGAGAGGTGGATGGGTGTTTTACTTGCTGCAAAAGATCTACATAGAGAGCAGTACCTTGAGAGGTCCCATCTGAAGCTCAGGCCTCTGCATATGATGGGGTCACAGACACTGCTGGGCCCACACCCTGAGAACCTGACACCAGATGCTCTGCAAGTCATTAACTACCTGATCCAAGGACATTAAGCTTCATTCAAGGTTACATAAATAATAACATTAATTAAAACAATGTTTTAGATTTAGGCATTGTAAAAATTGGTATTGGATATTTCTAGTAATGTGAAGATATAAATCCTAGGCCTAGGAAACACATACAAATATTTAGGTATAAATTCACTTACCATATTGTGTGCATTGCTATGACAACAAAAAAGCTGTCTAATAGTGGATGGCTTTTATCTTTTAAATTTTATATGCTTCAGAGGCTTCAACTTACTTATGCAAGTAAGCCATCCTGTGTTCACTATGGCCTGGTGGGATATTCCAGTCAAGATTTATTATCTCTGACATGTAACTGGGGAAACTGTTGGATAAGGAATGTAAATAAGTTGTCTCATGTCCCTGGCTGAGAAGCAGGACAATTATGCTGAGAACTTGTAGCTTCAAGTTATTAACCTGCAGCCTATTCCACCGAGATGAGAAATAATTCTTCATTGTTCCATACAATCTTTCCTATCTTGCTTTAAAATATGCTTTGGTTATTATAGATAAAAAATGAATTGTCTAAAACATTTAATTTTGTCCAACACCACTGTATTATGTAAGGTAAATTTTTATCTTCCTATTTAGCATGTTGTCTAGGCTGCTTGCAGTTTCTTACATTTTTATTTAATAAAGGGCTGGTCATTTTGAGCATACAGCAAGCAAGTGAACCTCACGTGTTTGTCTTTAGAAAGGGATAGGTCTTGAACTATGTCAATGGTATAAAAACAAACAAATATGAAGACCCTGATTTCATGGTCTGGCTTCTAAGCTGTTTTGTTTTGTACTTTCGTCTTCACTCCTTCTTGCTGATGCTGTACAATAGGTAATCAAGGCTCTCAAATTTCTCAGAAACTAATTACAACCTCTTTCTTTTGTTGCCCTTAATTGTAAATGGAAATAGCTGTCATGTCTACTTTTAATGGTGTGGCTGGTCATTGTGGTTGCCATCACACTGCTCCACACTGTGACACCCCTTGTCCTGGATGTCCCTGCTATGTGGAGCACAGGCCTATGTGGATAGCTGACTTGGCCAAGTGCTTGGATGGGCTTCCTTCACCGACCCTCTACAATTCTTTTGTAGAATAAAACAACTTTTGTTGCCCTCTAAGGACTGCTTCATGTTAATCTGAGGGCTTAAAATACAAAATGTTTTTGAGATTTGCTAGCTCCCTGCACCTAAAAATATCCAATGATTTTTTTCCCCATTATAACCCATTTAGAGAGTTTTCTGACATTTCCAATTCACTGAGCACAGCTGTAGGGTTTCACTATCTTCCGACAGGAGGGATTACCCAGCCAGTGACTATTCAGCCATCAGAGAGTGTCTATGTAAGTCACTTAACCTCCTAACCAGCATCTACTCTATTATCATTTTACAGGGATAGCAATGACAGCTATGTCACCAGAGAATTGAAAATTATATGAAGACATAGGATCTGTAAAAATGAAACTTTCTACTTCAGTTTGACTTTGGGCTGAATATTCATTCACATATCATGCTGCCTTTCACCATTTGGTTTCTTTCATAATTACTACAGAAAAAATGGAAAGGATGTGGCACTATCACCCATCATAACCAAGGATCCAGCCAGACAAACACCACACTCATGCTGTCCCCATTGTTCACATTACCTGCATGCTACTGACATATTCATACCTGAATATGAGGGAAGACTCTAACACTACTCAAAAATATCCACTTACTCTCTTAGATAAAACCACATAAATTAATTTAGCAACTTTAAGGAGCACTAATTAGTTTACTTTCAGGAGAATTTAATCCATGCTTATGCAAATATGATGGTGATTGTAATGTAAGTAAATTTACAATGTAAGATCTTTTTAATTAAAGAAAGAATTTGTAACTAGAGAGACACATTGTTGTCCCAATCCTATCCTGGGGAACATAAAGCACATTAGTGGGGAAAGTCAGGGAAAGCAGCAGTACTCCTTAGAGGGTACATTTCCCCACACTTAGCTTTACATTTTATGCAGGATGCATACCCTGGAGGGGAGCTGAGTGAAGGGTACTTCTGAAAATATAAAATGATTCCAAACATTTGTGTTACTTTATCTCATTTTAATGGTAGAAATTTATCTCGCTATTTTTGTGGATCCCGATTTCTCAGGGACTTTAAAAGAAGTTTCATTACTTGTTAGTTCTAGTGGTCAGCATCCTGAAAGTTAAAATAAAAATTTTCAAATGATGAGCTTTTAGGCAGAGCTCTTATAACCCATTTGATCAATCTGAGAACAGTGTGTGTAGGTGGGGTTTGGAAAATAGAAGTATGGAAAACAGCATCCATCCTCACAGTTTTGTGGTGAGTCCCACTAGAGCAGGCTGTTCGCTTTAATCAAATCTAGAAATTGTGTGGGAAAGAATAACTTTGGAAATTTCATTATTTAGACATTTAGTTAGAAATATCTGAAGTGGGGGGGGGCTGTGTTTTGCTTTGACTGCATTTTGGATCCTTCAACCGTATAACTCAACCAAAGAGCTGTCTGCACCCCCACCTCCACACCAGCTGATATTTGAAGCAAAGAAATGCTATAACCATATCTCACTGGCTGTCTGAACTGAAAGTCAGAAATGAATTCCTTTATGAGGTCAAAGTAAGTCATTGGTGGTTAATCTGTAAGCAGGACCCATTCCAACCACTGAGGTCTGGAGAAGGTCATGAACAAACCTCCTGTCTCTGTCTCCTTCCAGGACCCAATCACCCCGCCTCATCAGCTGCAAAGGCATCCTTACCGGAGGGGTGCTGAAAATGTAGACTGATGAGCCTTTCAGGGCCAGGAACTTGGATCTGAAGGTCTGAGAGGTGTCATCAGCTCTCTGGAGCCTCTCATTTACCCAGCCCATGTGCACCACCTGCAGAGGGAAACCTTGGAAAATTAAAAGCCAAGCCTTAATGAGAGTGTTCTAAGAGCAGAATACGAACAACACTCAACATGCTATGCTCCATAACTTCAACCCAGTATGCCCAGAGAAGAAGGAAAATCAAAGAAGTCTGGGTCAATCTACAAGTTCCAACTTAAGTAGACAGGATAGAAGTTTAAGACAGTTTGTGGTGAATACCCAGGCCCTTGTGGAGTATGGTCCTATATGGTGGCTGAGTTGTGGGTTCCTAGTATGCCTTTAAAATATGATGTTATCAGTCTGGAGTGGTGATTAAGTTGTTAAAGGCAAAGGATCACAACCCAAAGAACAAAAATGCAATGTTAAGTCACACTCTACTAGAGGCTATGCAAATGTAAAAAATAGCTAATTATATTTTCAGTGTTTACAGTAACCATGTAGCATCATACAATGTGAAAAAACTATTAAGGCTTTCTTCACAGTTTAACTCCTAGCAATGAAAATAATCTAAAATGCATAATTTTTACAACTCAAATAATTTCAGGCTCATTCTACAAAATGTAAACTATAAAATCACAAAGTGGTTCAGGTGTATAATGGAAATACTGATGTAATTTGAGAATTCAGTGAATGACTTCAACCATATTAAAAGACAACCCCCATCTTACCTAAATTTACATATGACACATACTTTGTAGTAACGGTCTGAGTAACATCAGTTTAACTTTCCCATCTCCCCATTTTGCCATTTCAAGAAAAACCAATTACCTTTAAAAAAAAAAAAAACCTTACTAAAAAATAACAAATCCTAGATTAAGACAGAGTTCTTAACTAACCCCACCCTCTTCCCCCTTTCTCTAATTTTTAGGAAGGGTCTTATGTAGTCCTCGCTGTCCTGGTACTTGCTATGTAGACCATGTTGACCTTAACCTCAATAGAGATGTAAAGTTGTGGCTTTGATGGGAGATGTCATTCTGTAAATATATTTATCTTATTGGTTAATTAATAAAGCACTGTTAGCCAATAGGAAAGCAAGATAGGCGGGACTAGGAGACAAGGAGGATGCGGGAAGTAGTAGGGAAGCGATTCAAAATGTAGGACCGAGAGAGAATTCCAGACCCTCTTTCTGGTATGATAAGACCATGTGGAAATATATAAATTGATAAAAATGCGTTAATATTTAAGACAGAGCTAGCCAACAAGAAACTTTAGTAATAGGCCAACAGCTTTATATCTAATACAGTGTCTCTGTGTGTTATTTGGGGCTAACACGGCTGTGGGACCAGGCTGGCGGGAAAAACTGCTTGTAACATGGCTTCTCAGCACTTTAAATGATATACCTTATTCACTATTTTAATGAACATTACCCAGGGTCCCTTGGGAGTGATGATCTTGTGTTCAGGGTTTGGATAGGAGCAGAAAGGTCATCAGTAATCCCCATGGCCTGGGATGGAGTAGCCCTGTATCAGCTTTTGCCCGATAACTCCTGGCAGTATTCACTCTCACACATGATAGACCTGCCCTTGAGATATCATCTGACAGCCAAAATACAAACAAGAAAGGCAGATATGGTTTCTGTTGCTAGGGGATATTGTTCTGTGGAAAGTAGCAGCCATGGCTGAAGATAATCACCATATGATATGTATTAAATACAAACAACTGCTATACAAATCTGTAACTTTGGTCATTTACTAGATTTTGCATGTATATTATAAGCAGTGTATATGGATATTCAAATATGTATAGTGTATGTGTTCATACAGGTGTACTTAATATGTGTACACATGCATACATGAAAAACAGAGAAGACAGTCATGGCTATCATTTCTCAGGCACTGTCTTACTTGTTTTTTTGAGACACAGGGTCTCACTGACTTAGAACTTGTCATGTCTGTTAGGCTGACCGATCTGCAAGTCCTAGGGTTCTACCTGTCTCTGCTCCACAGTAGGGTACAAGTATGTGTCACCATATCAAGTTTATTTCTTACAAGCTACTTGGATAAAATTCTAGTTCTAATGCATATGAGGCAAAATACTTTACCAACAGCTATGTCACCAGCCTTAACTTTGTCTTACATGTGCCCCAAGAAGGTGAGTTATATCAATATGATATAAGTGACAATAATATTATTTTGAAAATTTCATATGTGGCTTGGGATGGCTTTAACATAGTTGGGCTTTTATTATAAATGGGACTAGAATCCATAATATCATAGGAAAATACGAGTATTCAACACTGTGTCTTAGAAAAGCCCAGAGCACAGAGTCTTCAGACAGAAGCAAGATGGCATTTGTACTGTGAGAAAACTTCTGAAATCTAAGTCCTCCTTGAATATAGTCTGGATTTAGCAGTCTTCCAGATTGAAAATATGACAACAGCCAGGTTTTCTGTTTTCCTCCTTTTCATATGACCATATACAATGAGCTCCAAGGAGGACTGTGACATGCCCACACAGAAGAGAGGATGGTCAGGCTCACAGGTACCTAAATGAGTGTGGATAAGCATGAGTAAACAGGAAATGAATGTCAAAGCTGAAGGGCCAGTTCTGGATTCCTGGCTGAAATGGAGAAGCTTCAACCTTTTCCTCCCCACAGAAGCAGAATTCAGCAAGGACAAACTACCCTTGGATTCTAGTTCATTTGAAGGCCACCATGGGTTGTCAGAGCCACAGGTACCTAGTGCTACCTCTGAAAGTGATGCCAGGAGAATTTGGCTCTCCTTGTCTGCTACGCCCTTCACCTCATCAGTGTCTTGGTGATGTTGGTTTCTCCTCACTTGGTCAATGCCATGCCTGGCACATATTACCAAGAACTCCATACTGAGGAGTGGCCGAGAAACTTCTGCTTTAGCCACTGTAACAGCTTAGGTCAGTAAGCATCTGAATCACCAATTAGTTGGATGTAAACTTAATTAAATACTGTGCATAATTTAATTCTGCCTACATTATTTAGCACAGAAGTAAGTTATAGCTTTGCTGTTATTCGGACTGGGTGCCTTAATGTATATGTAGCTAGTTCATAAATAATCTACAGGAAGCCAATCTTATCTTTCACATTATGAATTTTGTAATGACTTGCTGCATGTTGTAAGAAGTGTATATCACACTTCCATGAATGTTGCCCTGATGGTATTATGTGACACAATTAACTGGGGACACAGGGTTTCACTATCTCCACAGAAGAGTACATTTTCATCTCTCAGTTCTGGGTCTGTTTTCTATTGGGTCAGTGTAGATATTTGGTTAAGCCTACACCAGATAGTCATTATACATTTTTTTCTTCTGCACAAAAAAAAACAATTTCCTATGCTACTTATATTTATCCTTGGAGTATTAACCAAGGCATCATCATCCCCTAAATTAAAATCCAAGTTAGAAATTCAGAAGACATTTATTTTGGAAATAAATAAAGCTGTTTGTAGTTTACTTGGTGAACACCCTTTGATTTCCCTAAAAGAGTTCTCAGTTTGTGCTTAATGTCATTAGGTTTAGGTTGGCAATGTGTGTGTGCATGTGAGTGCTGGTCAGAGGTCAACAATGGTTGTCATTCCTCAGGTGCTGATTTTTGTTTTGTTTTGAAAAAGGGTTTCTCATTGGCCCAAAATTCACCAAGAAGACTCCACTGGCTGGCCAGTGAGCCATAGGAGGCTTTCTTTCTCTGCCCCCTTACTGCTGGGATTATAAACACACACTAGCACACTTGGCTTTTTGACAAAATGTGGGTTTGGGGACCAAACTCAGATCTTTATTCTTTCAAGGCAAGCACTTTACAATCAGCCATCTTCTCCAGGCCAGCTCGGTCTTTGTTTTAGATCAGAGTTGCTCTAGTTTGAGCACCAATTTATAGGGTTAAAAGCTGGGCATATGACTCTATGCCCTGTGACTTTTGTACTAGCCTCTAGATTCTCTGTTCTTTTTATCTCAATTTTACTAGTTGTCAGATGTCATAATGGATAGTTTTGTGTCAACTTGACATAAATGAAAGTTATCTGAGAGGAGGGAACATTAATTTTAAAAATGCCTCTATAAGATTGGTCTGTAGACAAGCTTGTAGGCCATTTTCTTAATTAGTGATTGACAGGGTGGGCTTAACACACTATGGGTGGTACCACTCCTAGGCTGGTGGTCCTGGGTTCTACAACAAAACAGACTGAACAAGCCATAAGGAGCAAGACAGTAAGCAGCACCCCTCCTTGGCCTTTGCATTAATTCCTGCCTTGTTTGAGTTTTTATCCCATTTGAGCATTTGTTCTGACTTCCTTTGATAATAAAAAGTGATATGGAGGTATAATACAAATAATTTCCCCTCTCCAAGTTGCTTCTGGTCTTCTTGTTTCATCACAGCAATGACAATCCTAACTAAGACAGATGCCTCTGTTTCTTCAAGTATTTATTCAAGTATTATTTGTTATATACCAACAACCAATGATTAACTGTTTAAAGTGGAGGAAAGAAATGCTTTTCATTCTTGAAGGGCTCAATGCCAACTCCTAAGACACATGATAGAGTGCACAAGGTTTGAAGCAAATGTGTTCTGCCCTCTATAGGCAAATACACACAGGCACCAGGATGGTAGGGATAGTTTGAAAGCCTCCACATAGCATGGTGCACCATCAATATCCAATGTAAGAACACCTCTGGGCAAGTACAAAGGAAATTTTAAGTTCAGAAATAAGTAAATGAATAAATAAAATCCCAGAATAAAACTTTAGATTTAGATTGCCTGACATGGCTTTGTTTTGCTGTTCAGATGAAGAAACTGAGGCTGCCAGTTTGTTTGCTATTTCTGCCAGAAAAGGACATAGCTGGCCTTAGAACTGAGGGCCAGCAAGTTCTATGTCACGTGAGCAAAGTGTGATGTGTGGTACTATTCACCAAGTGAAGCTGGTGTCTCTGACATGATTCATGTAGTTCCTGTGGGCTCCTCAATGTGTCTGCAATGCCCAGAGTTATTTCAATGTAGCCCCTTGATATCCAGTGACAGGAAGATATGAATTCCACAGTAAAGAAGACATGCACTGGTCACAGACCCATGGTTTTCCCATGTAGGCCAGTTGTTAGTATCCACTTGCAAGGCCACCATTCTCTGAAGTAGGCCAGATTCATGACCTGGAGGCATCGCTTGCCAGTGATGCTGGAACCCACTAGCCTTTCCCCTTCCAGAAGACTTGATATTTTCACCTTCTTATCATGAATGATCTCTCCTGTGGTCACAGAGACATCAGCAGGTAGCAGAGCCCTGTGACCCTCTCCCCCCCCCCCACCAGATCAGCCAAAGGATCTGACTCTCCAAGCACAGAGACGCTTCAGTGTTCTGAGCAGCTAATATAATTTAATTTCAAAAAGAGTAAATCATTCATGGAAATAAACAATACAAATTCAGTTGGACATCCCACCAGCAACAAACAAAGTGAGAAAATGTTTATGTGTGAATCAAGTGGAAGTGTCCTAGTGGAAAAATTAGTGAGAAATTTCTTCTCAAACTGTGAAGTTTAGTGGGAATATAATATTTTAATATGAGAAAATGTATGCTATTCTAGTTTATAGACATATTACTCATAAAATGGCTAACCACTCATTAAGCCATGTAAAACACAGATAGCTGATAATTATTTATAAAATATTGAAAGTAATAACTCATATTTAGGAGAATTATATTTAGAAGTTGTTTCTTTTCCAGTATAAAAATCAGACTAACAGGTCCAATTGAAGAACAGACAGATTTTCTTCTCTTCTCAGTCAACATTTAATTGACAGAGAAATGTTCTCCTGGGTATCATTGTTTTGAATTTGGATTACTTTTTATTATTAATTTTTCCACTGAATTTACATCCTGACTACAGTTTATCCTCCCTCCTCTCCTCCCCCTGTCTCCTCTCTACCTCCCCTGACTCCACTCCTCCATTTCTGTTCAAAAAGGGCCAGGCCTCCCATGTGTGTCAAAAAAGCATGGCACATCAAGTTGAGGAAGGACTGAGCTCCTCCCTTGAATTAAGCCTGGGTGAGGCAGCCCAGTATGAGGAATAGGTTCCCAAAAGCCAGCTCAAGCATCAGGGACAGGCCCTGATCCTACTGCTAGAAGTCTCACAAACAGACCAAGCTATAAAACTGTCACACAGATGAGGAGAGTCTAGGTTGGTTCTATGCAGGCTCTGTAGCTGTTGGTCCAGAGTCTGTAAGCTCCTGTGAGCCCAGTCTGTGGGTTCTCTTGTCATGACCTTAACCCCCCCTGCCTCATATAATCCTTCCCTCCTCTCTCAGCCCAGTGATTGGCTGTGTTTGTATATGATCTCTGTATTTGTTTCTATTGGTTACTGGATGAAGGCTCTATGATGACAATTAGGGTTGTCATGAATCTGATTATAGGATGGCCAGTGAATGTGCATTCCAATGCTAACCACTGTTAAAGGGCATTCATATTCACCAATTTAAACAAGAGGAATCTATTATAGTATCAGTTTTCTTAATTTTAAGCTATAACATTTGCTTCTGAAAACCTATAAAAGATGTAGTTCAAAACCAATGAACTATAAATAAGTTTCCCCTCACATACTCAGTCTCATATGTGACTAACAAGTATTCTACAAAAGGGAGAGACAAGAGTACTCACTAAGAGCTGATGGAGTGCTGATGCCAAAGAGAGGCCTGCCTTCCCAGGGGAGCCTTGCCCTAGGTACTACATGATGTACAAACACTGCCCAGAGTGGAGTGACAGAATCCCATCCATTGACATTAACACCTGTCGGGTCAGCACCTTCTGAGAACCACAGCAGCTTACTGGTAAGGATCTCATAAGCTGAATTCCACCTGTGCTGAGGACTGTATAAGAATGGTTTGGTTGTGGTCAGATCCACAGCCAAATCATCCTAATCTATCTTTACCTCCCTTAACAGTTATTCATGGCTCCCTCCATGTATGACCTACCATCCTTGTGACGTCAGGGTAGAGCCTTTCAGAATTAACAGACTCCTTGCTGCCTTGAGCTCCAAAGCTGAGAATACTACCAGAGAACCTGTGAAACCTATTCTAGAGATTTCTCCACTTTGCTACAAACAACATCCACAATGTTCATATCACTGTATTTGAAAACTGCCTTTATCTATGAATGGCCTTGTTCTGTTGCCATACAAAATTCAAGAAAGTGTTACCACACTGGAAGACAGTATTTGGGGGTGATGGGGGGAACCTCCATGTTTGTTTCTGCCTACAATTGCTGAAATTTGATTCCAGAACAAACTCTCATACTCCCTTTGAGATGAGAACTATGCTATTGAGTCAACAACATCATATCACAAAATGATCCCAAGTCACACAGGCCTTTCTCTATCCTAAATCCCCTCTGGGTTCACACAGATCTCTCTAAATGCTGCTCAGATAATATTTTCTACCAGATGCAACCCACAGACAACAGTTATCTCATTAAACATGGGCAGTCAGAACAGTCCCCTTGAATAAAGAATATAAAGTTCACATTTAGGGCAGGGTATACCAAATTCCGTGTGATTCTCACTAGCATTTCCTTATCTAAATTTCACTGGGAAGCATGCACTGGGTGTGGGGTTGTTATCCTATTGAGCTGAAGGCATATACCTACCTGGTCACAGGGAGAGCAGCATTTATTTGCCATTTTCATCTGTAGAGGGAAGATGGAGAGGGGTCAGTGTGCTACACACATTAATGCCTTCATTTTTCAGCCTCTCTAAATGGCAGCTGAAATTAAGCAGCCCAGGAAACTTCCTTGGAAGATTTTTATTATTATTTTTTTTATTTTGTCTTTATGCTGTATCTTGCAACCATAGCAAACACACACTAATCACAAAAATTCTCAAAGCAGGAAAACAATGAAACAAAATGAAGTACACAGGCACACTAATGTCATTGTTCCTAAATACCAGCCATCGAAGTGAGGGCAGCTGTGGGGTGACAGATGCTTAAACATGTAGAAAGAAAATAAGGGAGATGGCCTCTACACTGTATCACATTATCTAACCACAGTGACCAGTGGCCACAGTGGATAGTCGATTCTTTACTTATTTCCCCAAACCCTGTAGATGTCACTTTCAATGATTTCAACAGTGAAGAAATGGAAGTCCAAGACTGTGAGCCCACATGTCTGCCCTGCCGTGCTCCCAGGATTCACCTGCAATAGTCACCCAGTCAGGAGAACCCTGTATTCACTCCTGTTTTTTCAGGTGCCAATCCAGCCCCACCTGCCTCTTTGCTTTGTGGTTTTCTTTGCTTACTTATCTATTTAGTTAATTAATTAAAAAAATCTATCCATCTAGACCCCGGGATTCAAAGCATGGAACATTAAAACCAAGAATGTAGGAAAGTGCTTCTTTATACAATAGCAGAGAGATGGCTCCTCATGTCTTCAGAGTAGAAATCTCATATATCACTGCATCCCTAAACATCTCAGATTATCCAGCCAACTTCTGTCTAGCAATGGGCAGGACAACACAGGGGATGAGGAATGAGAGGAGAGCAGGCACTAGCAACAGGCACTAGACTGTGAGGTACAGGGTATCACATGTTGCACCAGGCTGAGGAATGGAGTGCAAACACACAGCATGGGGATTGGGAGGGAGTGTGATGGGAGATGTCCTTCTGTATATATGTTTCTCTTATTGGTTGATGAATAAAACACTGATTGGCTGACTGGCCAGGCAGGAAGTATAAGAAGGGCTAGGAGATGAGGAGAATTCTGGGAAACATAGGCAGATGGAGTCACCATGGAGGCTGCCAAAGGAGTAACAGGTCCGGACCCTTCTCCAGTAAAATAAGATAAGGAAATATTAGATTAGTAGTTATGTGTTAATAATTAAGACAGAGCCAGCCAATAAGAAGTCCTAGCCACCAACCAACAGCTTAATAATTAATATAGCATCACTATATGTTTATTTGGGGCTCAAGGATGGCGGGCTTGTAAGAAAGTACCTCCACAACAGGAGTGAAGATGGGAGCTGGGCCAAGCCTTTGGTTATGGGCCTATCCTGCCATAGCTGCATAGCTATAGCTTGTTGTACTTCATGAGAGACTTAACAAGGAGTTGATGCTCTCCTTTCCCTAACAACTTCTATTTATTTATTTATTTTACAAATCTTACTGACTTTGAACATTAAACGTATCACCCAAGGGTATAGAATACTTTTTTTTCTGACCCAGACACCTTCAGTGTTTTTGGTTAGGTATGTCCTTTTACAGTTTTAAAAAACAAATGTTCACTAGAATGATGACATTCTCTGGAAAAAATAAATGATCATGATTGGGGTGTGTGGGGGGCAAAAAGAGAGAGAGGGGAGGAGAGAAAGAGAGAGAGAGGGCAGACAGTTTGTGCTCATGTCTATGTGTGTATATATTTGGGGAGCCCATAGAAAAACTAGGTTGTCCAGGGTGTATGCATTTATACCAGTTAGTAGTTTATACAAATAAAAATGCCCACATTGTTTTTTTTTTTTTAACACAGTTTGACTCTTTCTCTCTTTCTCTCTCTCTCCTGTTTATGTGTATGGCAAGACAGAGAATAGGAGGGATAGAGACACAGACAGGGAAGGAACTAACCTGAAAGTTTCCAAGTGTCCATATCTAGACATTTAATAATTTTAGTTTTAGTTATTTGAGTTAGGTATCTGATCTGTTGACCCAACCTTTCAGTGCATTAATTATACTTGGAAATTTCTCATCACTGCTGCTAAGGCAAACATAAGTGGGAGTAAGTCCTTTGCCATATGCTCACATGTTGAAGCGTCAGGTCACCGATGTTGGCTGAGATTGCACGCAACCAGTCAGCACAGTCCTGGGCAGTGGAGAACTGAAGGACTCCTGTGCTGGTTCCATCCAGGGCCAGCACTTCAAATGCACTGGACCTACAGTAGAAGAGAAGATACCAGGGAGGCTGTCAGCTGGGAGAGAATGACACTGCTCTGTTCCATTCAGCATGGGACAGGTGCTTCTAGCCCCTGCTGCTCCATGCTCAGCTGTGACACACCTAAGAAAGAGTAGTCAGTCTTAATCTAGTCAACAGCCATAATATGTTAGCTTTACCAAAATGAAAATCCAAACGGAATTCCCTCATTAGGAACCATTTCTAACTCAATAGACCAAGGAAAGTGAGGCAGATGAGGGGGAGGGGACTTTGCTATGGTTGCAATCTCAGAATTGACATCTTAGCTGTAATTATTTTGAAGCCCATTTGTCTCATAGAACCCAACATGACAACAAACAACACACTCAGTGCTGATGGGGGGCTGGAACTTCCAAATGTGTGCACTTTAGGATGGACAGCAGAGCTCGGGAGAAGCCCCATGTCCTTGCTTTGGTGTAAACAGGGGGAATGACTGACATAAGGCTGACTCAACCCCAGTAACTCTCCTTGCTGGGAAGTCCTTTAAAACCCACACTGCACATATATCTATCTTCAGTCTATTCTAAACCTTGTTGTAACAACCTCTCAGCTATGAGTTCTGCTACGCAGGTTGAGAACTTAGGGGAGAAGGGCTACTGAGACTTTCCTGGGTATGAGCAGCTCTCAAAACAGCTTCCCACGAATGAGTAATCTTTAAAAAGAAAAAGATAATCTCCCAACTGTCCCCACCTTAATTAGCACTTCTGGAACAAGAATGAAGCATTTAATTATTTCCAGCAGATTTTTCAGCCTGGTGGAACATGAAGGACAATGAGAGTACTTCTGAAAGCTTCTGCAGGGGATGACCCTAAGGGAAGGTGAGTTTAGAGTAAAGGCGCAGGCAGCAGCAGGATGGCTTAAGGAATGGACCAGCATTTTCACCACTGCCTTCAAAATGCTGTGTCTTTCCACTGTGTCTTCTTGGTAGAGGCATTTGTCTCTAACTCCTTCATTTCAAGGTTCCTTGTTCCCTGTGCAGCTGCCTTACACCTGCATGTTCTATGACAAATTATTGCTTTTGCTGTGTGGCACTGAATAGCATTAAATATATATCCTCGTGTTTATTTTGGACATTGCAAGGACATGGACTTTATTCTAACTGCAAGAGGAAGTCGACAGGAGGCTTTGAGTAAAGAAATAGCATGGTCGGAAATGGATGATAAATTTTCAAAAAACAAACAAACAAACAAACAAAACAAAAAAACCCTCAAAACAAAACTTGTATTGGAAAGAGTCCAAAGGGACAGTGGAAAAATATGAGAGAAGATTGGTAATTGCTGGAGTAAGCGGGCAAGGAGGGTGCTCAGGGAAGCCAGCCTGTGGAGGTAGCTGAAGAGGGGAAATTAGTCAAGAGATTGGACTCAGATCATGGTGATGAGGGATGTCCTTCTATATAGGTTTCTCTTATTGGTTGATGAGGAAAACACTGATTGGCTAGTAGTCAGGTGGGAAATATAGGTGGGGTTACTAGATGAGGAAAATTCTAAGGGAGAAAGGCAGAGAGGAACAGTCAGGGAGACGCCATGTAGCTTCGGGAAGATAGGATGTCAGGCATTCTCCAGTAAGATAAGGCCATGTAGAAATATATAGATTAGTAGTTATGGGCTGATAAGTAAGAGAGGGCTTGCCAGTAAGAAACCTAAACCTTTGGCCAAACAGTTTATAATTCAAATAAGCTCCTGAGTGTTTATTTGGGGCTAAACGGCTGTGGGACAGAAACTCTGTCTACATCATGGGACAAGGAGGAATCAACAGTAAATGCAAGGTTTGGCTGAATGCACAGAAGTATAGCTGAAATGTTCAGCAGCTGTGCTGGAGTAACTGGACTCAGCATGTGAGGAAGGCCAGAACAGAGACACAGCTTGGGCCATCTGTTTGCTTGTCATGCTTCCCAAGTAGAGCTTGGAGTGGGTGGTGGAACAGTCAAGTGTGGGCACTAGGGACATGTCTAGAAATAGAAAATGTGAGCTGTCCACCATGCAGGGTCAGATTGTGAGAAGGAAGAGCTCACCAAGGAGCAACTTGGACAGTGAAGCAGCTGGAGAGAGGAACAACTAGCAGAGAGAACAACAAGACTGACTGGCAAAGTGGGAGATGCTAACCTGGCATGTGTCCCTGAAAGCCAGCACCCAAAGAAAAGTTTCTGCAACAGAAATAAGTGTTGCTATACTGACATTCTCTGTACACCAGATGTGAGGACTCCAACACTCCCACGGCCCCCAGATATAGACAAGTAGTGCAAACCGACAGATGTGTAAATCACAACACAAGAACACAAGAAACATGAAGAAGCAAGGCATCCAGGCTCTTCCAAAAGACACAACTACTAAACACATAGATACTAAAGTAAGCAAAATGTCAGACCAATATTATAAAGCTTTTTTGTAAAAGTGATTGACAGCCTGAAAGTAGATACAGAGACTGTGATAAATTCAATCTAGAACATAAAGCAGGCATCAGAAGGAAATGGACCTGGGTGCTACCTCTAGTCATCCTTCAGATAAATAGGAAAGTAAGCAGACTCCAGGGCTCTAGTCCTCATTTGTCAGTGGGGAGGGTACCATCCACCAAGGGTGATGGTAGAAGACCTAGAGGATGGAGTAATGTCTAGTCCCCTGTCCAGATCTGAGTGAAATCTCAGCAAACAGTGGTAGTGGAACAAATAGTACTTAGACAGGATTTGATAATATTTTATGAAAGTACTACCTAAAATATATTTATACTTCAGAGGAAAACTCCTGACTAAAGGTATGGAAGATGAATAGAAATCTGTTATATTATAATTGAGCTCTTAACTGAGATAGAGACCCCTGCCTGTTTCTGCCTTCATACAGAACCCCTTCTGCATCTAGGTATCCTGAGACCCAAAGCCTTGTGCTTACTCCAGCAAAGCTTTAGATCCCTAAGCTGTCCCTCTTCAAGGATAGGGCTGTTTCCAAAGGAGTTACCACACCCATCTGTATGATCATCAGGCCTCATGTAAAGCTAATTGCCATTCACTCTCACTAAGCCATGCAGAGCCCACATAAGGCTGAAAGAACAGTTGAATTTGAAGCAGCAATTCCTTTCTGAAGGCTCCAGTTAGGGAGCCTGTTGCATTCTCTGGGTGCTGACCGTCCAATCTCACGCAACATGCATATCTGTGTTAGTGACCACATAAAAAATTTTTTTAAAAGCTTATGCCTTTCTCAAATGAACACCTGTTAGAAAATACCAAAGCCAGTTGCATACAATGTATTAACCCTACAACAGAGTTCACTTCATTCTCATTTGCATCATAATTTCTAAACTTGTTATTTTATAACTTGTTCCACTAGAAATCTCCTTTTGATTGCAAGAATAAATGCTAAATGATGTCCCAAGTGTTTTCTGAGAAAATGTCTTCAACAAACATATTGGCTTATTAAAGGCTCTTGTGTACCAGGGAACTGCACCATCCAGATGCTCATGGAGCTGGGACAAGCTATGATTCATCCACACCGTGCACATTGCTCAACATAGAAACAAACTCTCTGGTCACTGTGTCTTTCCGTTTCATGAGGATACTGGCGGGAAATTGAAAGCACCTTCTTAGCCACGTGGTGTTTAAATTCTGTACCAGGGAGGCTCAGGCAATGTTTTCTGGCTAATATTCCACTTATTTTTTGTAGAAGTGAGAAAATGAGTAAATATTTTCACTGGGTGCAGTGGGCAAAGGCTGAGGAATCAGTTCAAGGCCAGTCTCAGCTAAGATATATAAGACCCTGTCTCAAAAAAGAGAGAAGAGAGGGAGAAGGAGGAAGGAAGGGAAGAGGAGTGGGGAAGGGCTGGAGAGAATCATTAGATAGGTGAAAAGGAAAGAATATACAATTTTATTTCTATCTTTAAAAAAGATTTAAAAAATTATTTTATTTTGTGTACATGTGTTCATGTACATGTGTGGGTGGGTACCCTTGAGGGCTAGAAGGGGCCTCTGGATCACCTGTAGCTGAAATTACATGGGTGATGTGTGTTTTCAAACAAGTCAACAATGTACAAAGAATCTTTATGCTTTTTCTAAGGATACATTAATTCTCCTTGCATTTCTCTTTAAGTCTTTGAAGAGATTTAGTAACATGGAAGGAAAAACTGAAGATACTTACACATCTTATAAACAATGGCATTGAAAATAAACAATAAAGAGAGCCAGCTGGCAGCTACCCTTCCACTGTAATAAACACAGTGCATCAGCTTTCAAACATTGCAATGGTGCTACCTTCACCCTCTGAAGAAGGTTCTGCTATTGAGATCTAGAAACTGAGTGTATACATGTCAACTACTTACCTACATTTACTTATAAGGCCAGGCTGGCAAAGGCAGGGAATGATGTCACCATTAGAAGAAAGAAGGGACTTCTGACCCCAGCCTTCTTCTTAGCTCCTGATAGTGAAGATGTTTGATCTGGAGAAACTGTAAGATCCCTGTGCACTGAAACCATGGCAACTGCTGTTTCCAGGAGCACATGGTTCATTATTCCCCAAGCTCACAATTCATTTGAACCTGTTTTCTGCTTTTGGTTCAGTAATAACTACATTGGCTATGACTGCCAGTGGCTGTCATTTTACTCTTTCCTTATGGGGCAAGACCACAGCTGCAGGTGGTAGATGCAAGGGAGTCACACTGCTTCCTAGGAAAACTGGCAAGAGCTTTGAATAGGACCTTATCTACGTAAAGAAAAGGAAAAAACAAACACACACACACAAAAAAAAACAAAACAAAACAAAACAAAAGCAACTCTATATCATAAAACTGCTCGGCTGGAAGAACCCTTTACCTTCTTAGGATCACATCTAGCTGAGCAAGCAGCACAATGCATTTGCAAACTACAGCTTGAGGAGTCTCCTCTCAGCTCCACACATGGAAGATAATTCATTCTAGAGAAGGAATCTGGGCAGAGGAGTATCCTTGGGAGAGACTTGGTCTTCATGGGTGACAGGCCAAGGG